ACCCCCCTCCTTCCCCCACTGTACTCAACCCTGGGCACCTCAAGGGCTACAGCTGCCCAATCGCTGCAGCAAACCCGGCGGTCACCAGCAGCTGATGACACGTGGGGCATCCCTAACAGCGGGCCCTCAGCTATCCCGAGGTGGCCTCACCGGGCCAGCGCATGCCCCACCCAGCCCCACCCAAGGGTAGGGACACTCACCCTGGTGCAGTGCCCAGCAGGTTAGATGGGGCAGACACTTAAGAGCTGCGTGCCAAGGCCCTCCTTGTCCCTAATACTCAGCATAGCAAAGTTGAGGTGCAGCTTAAAGAAACCCAAACTGTACTTCATGAAACATTAGTCCCAAGAAAACACTTAACATCATACTGAAAGAGGTCCTATGCTGAAATAAGTTTCAAAAATGTTGGTATGAATCAAATTAAAGCCTCTTTCTTTCAGAACTACACAGAGCCTTTAATCTCCTCATGTGGACGATTAGTTTGTGAGAAATGAATGTAGTGTGTAGTATCTGCTAAAACAATTTGAGTAAAAGTTTCTTTTCCCAGGGAGCAAACACAGTTTAGGTCCTGTTAGTTGAGCCCAGGTGTGGAGAAGCGGGGTCCTGAGCCAGCACAATACCTGGTCTTGTACAGTCCTGGAGCGCCCTCTAGTGGGTGGGCACTGAGACAGCAGGGACCCAGCAGGCTCCTGTGTCACGAGTGTCTGTTCGTGATAGTCTTTCCTGTAAGTCAGCTGAACAGCCCAGCACCAAGAAATAGACAAGAGTCACACAGTAACTATGTTATTCATTTGGCTTTTATTGAATACAGGTTCACTGAAAGTAAAACCTACTGTACTCCTACTTATATTAAATCCTACTTATATTAAATCCTACTTATATTCTAACAATCTAAGAAATACTACACACATGCACAGAGTAATCAGTGGGGAAAAACAAACCCAAGTCCTAGAGCCTCGGCCTGCAGGCCCAGGAGACAGCAAGGTAGCAAAGAAGTGATCAGCATCTTGAAAGGAAGGATCTCCAGAGCCAGGTGGGCAGCAGAGCATACGAAGTCCTCGGTCCAGCACGGCAGAGCCTCCAATGGCTCATGTGATGGGAGATCCGCGTGGCATGGGGCAGCACCCTGGTGCGTGGAGTTCGGCTGTCTCAGCTGTGGTCTGGAGGAGGACCACTTGCTGAAAGTGGAGTACTCCACCCTTCTGGTCTCTCAATAAGTGTCTTGGCACCCTTGATGGCAAGCAGGGAATTTGCCAAGGAGCCTATCTATAGGTGGTCCCACTCTACAGAAATGGCTGTTCTGATCTTAGGTGTCTCCTTACCAGATGTGTCTGCTCTGACTGAGGTAGTTTCCCTCTTGAACCAGCCATCCAGAATGGCATGAATGACTTCACTTCATTTTATATTTCATACCATCTTGATGGGAGCAATGCCATTTTATTGGTCTTGTTCTCCACAGCGGGCCCTGCACCAGGTCCCTCTCCACCCCCAGCACCTGTCCTGCCATGGCCCAGGGCCATCCATGCTAGTCGCCATTTGTTAGAAACCCTGTTCTGGAAACTGCAGTGAAATCAGTCAGGTGAGTCACCCCACCTCCTCCTCACAAGTCCCTCTTTCAGACTTCTGGGCTTTCAGGAGAAGAGACGGGCAGGGTGGGATCTACAGTCACAGGGGGCGGGAGTGAAACTGACCAGTTCCTCTTCCTGCCCCCGACACACATACTCATACACTCAGTCCTGTCGCTTGGCCTAGAAAATGTCTCCAGCTACAGCACCTGGGTGGAGGTGTGCCCTCCACCCAGGACAGCCCCAGGCGAATGAGGCAGGGTGGAGAGGAGTCTTGCTTTTTGATAAATGAATACTATACTGAGCTGAAGAAATGACATGCAAAGATATCAGGGCCTGAGTTCTGGAACCTACAACTGTTACCTCTGGAAAAAGGGTCTTTCCAGATGTGATAAACTGAAGATGTTGGGATGGGGACTTAGAGGGGGCTTCCAATCATCTTTCCTAACTGCCTGTCCCCTCTCTCCTCTGCGCTCCCACCTCCCTGTGCTTGGCTCCATCACACAACTGAGCCCTGTGTCCCAGCTAAGATGGCAGGTCCTGGTGGGATCAACCTCAATAAATACTGTACTAAATGAATGAGTGAATGAATGGACATTTGAAGCAAAGGGCTAGGGACTTAAATTGAAGTGTGAAAGGCAAGTTAGCAAGCAGGACAAATATCCTTCTTCTGATTTCTTTGCAAGACTAAGAACTGTCCTCTCCTTAGATATTTTAAGACCAGAAGCTTAAACTGGACAGTTTCCCATATTATTGACACAATAGTTCCGTTGTCTATTTGACATTTTTACATAAAATGAAACTACCCTTAACCATAAAATACCCACTTTGTACTTGTCCAACTAATAATTTCCATGAGTTCATGGATGGCTGTTAGTAATATTTTTCTGATGCCCATGAAGAAGAGTAAAAATTAAATTTTAACATTACTCATCCATATACCAAATAAAATTATCTTCCCTATTCCTAGAGATACACGGGCCACACTCTGGAAAATTCCTTTGCATGAAGGGCTCAGGTTGGGCCTGCCTGGACACAGGGAGACAACAGAAGTGACCTCCCTCTGGCCACATAACGTCCATGGCTGAGGAGACGCAGTGAAAGGAGCTGGGGTATCACCCTGCATGAGCAGACACAGACCCACTGAAGCCCCCCAAACCCCACTCGATACTTCCAATTATAGCGGGCCAGTGGACCTGAGAATCCTCCAGAATCAGGGAGGCCCCCAAACCCAGGAACACAAGGTCCTTGCTCCCAAAGTTCCTTAAGGGCAGACATGGGAGGTTCCTTGACCCCGTACTTTACTCCTCCACAAGAACCACTTGCCTTCCCTTGTCATGACTTCCCGGGGGCAAAGTAGCAGCAGTGACCTCAGAGAGGGAAAAAGTCTGGGCTCCGCAGGAGGATTTGTCCACAGGCAGAACTGGCCCAGCCTGTTGCCCTCCCACTGCTTCAGAACAGTGTTCTTTCGACTTTTACCTCTGCCTGCAGCCGCAGCTCCCCGGCCCTGAGCCTTCTACCAGCACTGATCGGCCTGATTTGTAGAGCCTGAAAACCAATGAGCTGCTCTCTCTGTGGGAGCAAAGTTCAACTTGTGGTGAAAGCAGGTAAAGCAGAGCAGAGCTAAGCTGCCCAGCAAAGAGCCAATGCAAGCAGGGGCGTTCAGGCAGGCCACCACCGGAGCTCTGGCTGTCCTCTGCTTCCCCGAGGGACCCTGGTGTCCACCCTGCCCTCCCCACCCCAGACTGTTTGCCACACAGAGGACTTTCGGACTCAGTAACCTGTGAGGACCCTACCACCATGCCACCCTCTAGAGCCACCCACCTGATGTGCAAATGAACCAGGACCCTCCCAGGTCACAGCCCCCGAGCAAGCCCTCCCACCAGCTTACCTGAAGCCTTGCTGTACCATTCAGAAAACTTCCCCTCCCTCTGCTCCTGCCCAGCCGTCATGAAGGGTCTGGAACTCTTCATGGGGATCCCCTTTGCATCCTAGAAGAGACAGGAGTTCCCCTTTGGAGACAGGGGCTCCCCCCTTCTTGTTCCCCTAAGCTTCTAAATCTGCCACTGGCTCAGGAGCCACTGTGATCAGTGCCAGGTGCTTTCTGGGCCAGCAAGACATGAGTGTCAGAGCAGGGCGGGCAGCAGCTTCACGCTGCCAAAAGTGTGCTGGTTTGGGGTCTGGGAGCCTCAGCAAAATGCACATAGCAACGTGGTACAAAGGGGCTGCGCACAATTGCACCGACATCACAGTGTCCGAGGTTTAAAGTGTGCCTTTCTACCACCCAACTGAATGCTAGGGTGGGAGACCATGGCTTGCTCCTTTTTGTACTTCAGGCACTATCCTTATGCCAGACATGTCATTCTTTGTGGCTACCAATGTTTGAAAAAGTCACTGCCAAAAACAAATGCCAGGTCCCCTTCTAAGATCTACCGAAAGTTGCTTGGACTTTCGACATCTACCCAGAGCCCATGGGAGGGTCTTGGGAGGCATCTAAATCCAAGATGAGGATTCACTCAAGGTTAGAAAGAAATGTTTTATTCTTTTTATAGGAGGAAAATTATTTTATTGTTGACACCATTACAGATGTACCCCATTCCCTCCCCTCCCGTAACATTGCCCACCTCTACCCATCCCCCAGCCTTCTCTGGCCTTCACCACATTGTCGCCTGTGTCTGTGAGCTAGGCATATATGCATATGTGTTCTTTGGCTAATCTCTTCTTGTTTCACGAAGGAAATGTTTTAATCAGGCTTGAACATAGGGCCAAAGTTAGATTAAGCAGGAGTTGAAGACGGTCAGAGATGAGAGCATCATTACTGAAGCAAACCTAGGTGCCCACCTTTCTTCTAATCTCAGACTACACAGATAGTATTTTCAATGACATCATGCCCTGTCCTTGCTAATAACAAGATGTGATTTTCTTTAATAATATTAATAGATTTCATTGATGCCTTTAATGATAATATGCATGCTCTGGTTAAAAACGAACATGAGGAAGCCATAGCATTCAAATCCTAATCTGTACCAGACAGAACTTCCAGTGCTTGGCTCACCCACAGCCACCTGCTGAGTGTGTGTGGTCACGTGTGCCACTGGTGATGGACGCTTAGCCCAAGGAACCCATGCAGAGGCCAGACTGAGCCAATTAAATTCCCCTGGACAGAAGTAGAGACCCAGAAGAAAGTAACCAATGAGCAGACAGTACAGAGAGGTCAGCACACAGGTGGCATCTCAAGCAGCCATTGGAAGAAACAAAGGAGAGAGACCCCACTGCCACTGTGACGTGAGAGGAGAAGCCACGTGGGTTGCCATTGCTAGACACCAAAGGCACCCCAGCTGGAACACGTAAGATGAAGAAGCTTACAGTGCAAAGAACCCCGGCGCCTTTGTCAGTGTGAAACCGCCCTGAGTCTGGGCAGTGGCCCCAGCACTTACTCTATTCGTCCCCGTGCTTCCCCCTCTCTCGCGCGAGGTGGTCCCCAGGGTTTGCCCGGCCATCTTCTGCAAAGCGGTTCGTTGCCTCTGAGCTTTCAGCACCTTGGGCGGTTCGTCTTGGGATTCCTCTGGCTCTGTAGCATGAGACAATCACCAAGGTCAGCCGTGGTGCCCGAAACCTCCATCCTCAAAGACCCACTGCACCCGCCTGGCCCTCGCTCCCCCAGGGATCCCGGGCTTCGGCTTCTGATCTCAGGGCCACTGACCCAGTCTGCGTGTCCATCCTGGGTCAGGAGCTGCGGTGTTTCTCTTCCTGGGCACCTCTGCCTCAGACCCCTACCCAGAGTCAGGATTCTTCCTCCCTTCCAGTCTGGACCTCCAGGAGCTGGTCTCAGTCCTGCTCGCAGCATGACTCAGGGCTGCAAACTTTTGTCTGGCACTTGAGTCCTGGCAGTAGCTCATTCCCTGATTCTGTTCTGGTCCCGGATTCCAGGCCCTGTCTGCTGCCAGCTGCTGCCTAAAACTGGCCCCTCCTGATACCCTCAGCCCATCGCTGTGCAAATTGGCTCCCTTTAAGGGGATAACATGGCGTACGGGACAGACAGGTTCCCGTTCTCTTCAAGTTTCCTGTCTCAGTCAGGTGCTCTCCCTCCAGTCTGGATGTGGTAAACATCCAAAACACAGGGGTTCAACAGGCACATACATTCCCCACCTCCACCTCCTCTCCAGAGCGGTGGATTCTGTAAGTCTGGGGAAGCGCTCCGCATTTTAACTTGCCGGATGATTCTGGTGGAGGTGAGCCACAGACCACAGCTTAAGAAACACCCACTCAGAGCATAACAAAATCAGCAATTGCAATAAAATGTGGTAACTGCTATGAAGGGGCCATCCAGGCTGAGTCAGGAAAGCCCCCTGAAGTGCTCTTTTGGCCCAGTGTGGGGGCTGCTGCCGTTAGAACTGGACCTGCTGTTTGAGTCACTCAAGGGACATTGACTGACAAGTAACGTGAGTGTGAACAGTCCAGTGCTGGGTGCTGGGGACACATGAGAAAACCCTCAAAAAGTCACCCTGGAAGGTGCTAATCAACCCCAGCTGTAAATCTGAGCCACCTGGCCCCATCCCAAGGTTGTTTCATCAGAATCTCTGAGGGTGGGACCCAGGCCTTCATATTTATTTTTAAACACTCCCCAGATCTTCTAAGAAACAGGCAAGCCTGAGAACCAACTGTTCTAGAGCAGTGGTTCTCAAAGTATGAGCCTGAGCACCAGCCCCAGCTGGTAACCCAGAATGGTACCCAGAATGCAGCTGGCTACTGCAGAATGTTAGAAATGCAGATTCTCAGACCGCACCCCAGCACCACTGAATCCACAGCTTTGGGGTGGGGGGCCCTGCAGTCTGGGAGTAGGGGGACCTCCTTCTCACTGTGCAGCCCTTGCATCCATGCCTTTGGTTCCCTTCACACCATGTACAGGTAAGTAGAGACCATCGAAACAATGAAAAGGACAGCAAATCTGTTTTCGGCCTTGGTTACCAGGGAAGAAAATGAGGTCCCACCTTCTTTGGAAGAGTCCTCTTCTGTGCTCACAGCCTTCGCACCCTTACAGCTCCCTGAGAGAAGGAAGAGTTAGTGGCTCCAATGCATTGAACCCCATCCCCGGTTAGAGAGAAATGTGGGACAGCGTATGAGAACCAGTCAGAAGTAAGCCCTGTAATCACTACTTTACCAGCGACAGGCAGGCGGGAGCAGTGGTCACAACGACAGACACTGGAGGCAGAAGGTTCAGAGTTCCCAGTCCAGCCCTACCCATCACTAGCTGGGCACGACTTGGCCAGTCCTTGACCCTCCCTAAGCCTCAGTCTCCTCATCTAGAAAATGAAGATATCCATGCCCACCCCACATTAAATCATGGGGACAAGGTAATGAGGCAATGAACCCGAAGTGCTCAGCGAAGCACATGGCACTCCTCCGAGCACCAGCACTGGGAAGTTCGGGACCACAGGAATAGTGCCTTTCTGAGCTGGTTGCAAGGCTGGGAAAGAAATGTCTAGCCTCAGGGCAGGGCGTGGGAGGAGACTTGTGGGTTTGCAAGAAAAGGCAGAAGGGTAGCTACAGGGATAGTACAGGGGAGGCAGAGTGGATGCAGTAAAAGGGGTCAGTTTCATTAAGGTGGGGGTAAGGTCTCCAGGAGAGAGCAGCGCCCTGTAGGGTACTGCCTGCCTATAGAGGCCAGCGCCTGCACTCCATTACACACTCACACACTCACTTACACACACACACACACACACGCACACACACACACACACACCAGACTACCCAAAAAAGGAGAGCAATACTCCAAACAGGCCACATTCACATAGATTTGGGGTCAACCTGCTATACACCAGGAATAAGATAAAGGTCGATGGTCTAAACCACAGGCAAGGTGAGTTAGAAAGAGCCGGCTCATGGATTCTGCTCCATCACACGCTGTCCCCAAGAATCTCCCTCTACCCCATGTTTCCATCTCCCTACAGAGAAGAGAATGCCGGGTAAGAAACCCAGCCATTGCAAGGAACGCCTTCAGCACAAATGCCAGCTAGAGCCCTGTCTGTCCAAGAAGCACCCTCCCCCGTCCAGCTGGAAAGCCTGGCACCACATGCCCTCACCCTCACCCTATAGACTGGCTGGTGAGGGACAGGAAAGAGAAAAGGCCAAGACAACAGCCGAGATTATTACAAACCACCCCATGCAGACTTACCCTTCACCTTCCTGCGGGATGAGGTCTGGGTCTGCAAAGATATAGAACAGAGCAGGTTACAATCAGCAGGGAACTCTGCTCCAAGCAGTGATTCCGTCTAGCACCATGAAAAAGAGACAGCCACTATTTCCATACCATCTATTAGAAACTGGAAGGAGCTCACAGTTCACCAGTCTAAACCCCCAACACATCTTAAGATGTCCGTATGTGAGAGGGATGACACCAAGATAGAATGGCAGCAACCAGAAAGGCACCATGCTTTATTTTCCCCTGGTGGGGAGGCAAGAACACCTCCTCTTCAGAGAGGGACTATGGTTTGAAGGTCAGGAGCCCCAAGGAAGCAGAGGGGGACAGTCAGTACTATTGGTACAATGGGTAGAAAACAGGCAGGCCAAGGTAGGCGCCCTCCTGCAATGTGGGCATCTGAGATGAGTGCCCCCTAGGAGCAAGGAGGCATGATGTGGACAGTCACTGAACTGTCTGCTCAACCCCTCTTTCCAGAAAGTGCTTCTTATTCCTCCTGTCACAGTGGAAAATTGGAACGGTGGGATATTGTAACCTACCTCACAATTCTTTTGATATGGTTTCTGTAAGTGCTAACTCTGACTAATATGTAGCTTGTAGATAAGTAACATGTTCATATAAAGTAAGGAGGAAAAGATGGCGGAGGAGTGAAAGGGAGTCACGCTGACCTCCTCCCAAAACCAAACTGGAATTGCAACTAAAAATAGCACCGAAAGCAGTGAGCAAGGGAGAGGAGCCTGGTGCCGCGGACAGTGGATTCGACTCCACACATCCCAACGGGTAGAATTGCTGGAGGCTCGAGAGGGTGGGCTGGGTGCCCACGGGCACTGGCACCAGAGGGACATGAAACGGCCAGTAGCGTCCCCCGAGAAGAACGGGGCTGATCAAAACAGAACCCCTAACTACAGCAGCTAAAGCCGAGAAAATACAGACAAAACGCAACCCCAAAAAGCTTAGGGGCACTCTCTGCCAGAGACAGGTGGCTGGCAATGCAAAAAGACATTTAAAGGGCAAACGCAAAAGTTGCAGCGGCAGCCGCCCTCCTTGATCGCTGGGTACAGGCGGCAGCAGGGAACATGTTCATATAAAAATCCCAGGAACTAGGTTCAAAAGATACAGACTCCAATCTTCAAACATCCCAGCTCCAGGAGATTTGCTGATACTCATCCATGGAGCCAGGATGACATGAAGCCAAGATGACATGAAGCCAAGATGATTAAACCAGGGTGATGCACACTGGGCCATCAGTTACCTTATCGGAATGGACTGTGCATCAGCACCTGCCTCTTGAGTATTGGCTTTCATAGCAACAGGCAGCTGGACCTGCTTTCAGTTACACTTCCATGTGGATAGACCAGACACAGGTGACAGTGTGACCCCTCACCACAGCCAAAGCTGACTGTCCAGGTCTGGGCAGAGAATTCTGGACCGGTAATGTGTAAAGCCAAGAGATGATGGCAGCCAACTGGTTTTGGTTTGGGGTTTTTTGGTTTGTTCACTTGTTTGTTTTGTCACATGGAATAGGTAAGGAATGGAAGCTGATCTTCAGGATAACATAAAAACTATGCAGACATAGAGGAAGGAACAAGACACACAGCAGAGGACAACTCCTGACCATATTCATGTGCCTGGTTCTAGTTTATTCCCACACTCAGCTGCTCTTCTACCTTGAGTTCTGGGGGACATCTTATCTGCCCTTATGACAGATTCCCTCTTCTGCTTAAGTTGAGTTGCCTTTTATTACCTGCTAGCTAATGATTCATCTAACTATTTCTTCCTTTACCTACATCTATTCTAGACACTATAAAACAAATTATTCATTTCCTAGGCTCCCTTGCAGGTATAGCTATGTATGAGATATAGCTGTTATCAATAAAATATTAGCAGAAGTCTTGGAAAAAGACCTTTTCACCAACTTCTTCCATTGAATGTGGTTGTGATAGTTGGGGCTATGGCAGCCATCTTGCAACAATGAGAGCCAAACACATCAACAAAAACTAAACGTATGGAAGATAGTAAAAAGAGAAACAGAGTCTTTTTTTCCAATGGCATAATTGTGCTGCTAAAACAAGGCCAGAAACAGTCACCTCATTTGGTGTTACAATAAAAAAAAAAAAAAGCACCCTACTCCATTCTGTTTAGCCAATACGTTCCTGACTGAAACATTTACACACAAGAGTTCTGGGTAAAATAAGGAAGAAACCTCCGGGCTGAGGCCTGAGCAGCCACAGCACTGAAGAGCTTAGTGTTTTGGGGGGTGACAGTGAAAAGAACAGCAGGGGAGTGGATGGTATATGTGACTGAGTGAGGCATGGCTGGGAGAACAGAAAAGCATCAATAGCAAGAGCTGTGAGTACAGAAAGAGTAGGCTAGACAGTGGCAGTGGGTGCTCAGCCCCGGGAAGTTGTGAGGAGGGTGTTTTCAGAACCAGGGCAAGGACCTGAGGCAACAGGAGGGGCTCAGCTTGGGAAAGATACACTTCTCTACCGGGCTTGGCAGAGAATTATTGGCAATAGGCAAAAAGTGACAGGGCCAGGTCTAGGAGAGAGGTGCTTAGTGGGTGCCTTTTCATCAAACTAGTTTATGCAACCCCAGCATCAGAGGCTGTTAATTTATCAGAAGGCTACTGGTTAAGAAGCTATGTCTGAGAACACAGTGAGAAGAGCACAAGCTTTGCAGCCCGCCTGCTGGGCTTGGGTTGAATCTCCCCCCTGTAACTACAGAGTGGCCTGTGTGGGCTCCTGTGAGATACTTGACTTTTCCAGCCTCTTTGGTTATGGGTCAAATAACAATGAGAAAGTATGTTTACCTTGAAGGGCAGTCGTGAGGCTTAAATGAAGCGATAAGCCAAGTATCAAGCAGGCGCTGGCATTTAATATGGTCTCTGGTATTTGTGTGAACCCATCTGCCCACAGTCCTTAAGGGCAATAGGCACATCTTCATCCTGAAGGGAGGCAGACTGAATCCTCATCACTTTGTGCCCCTGAAGTCTGAGGATTTCTCTCCCCTTAAAGAACCCAACTAATTAGACAAATAGCAGCAAATCCAAAAGGATCTAAGGAGACTCTTGCGGAGAGGAGGCCTAAGGGCAACAGAGGCTGGTTGGGTGGAGGGACAGACCTACCATCTCCGTCTGTGAGGTAATGATCCTGGCTTGTTGTTGCATCTGGGTGCTGAGGGACATAATGTGCTGCTGGGATTGGGAAGCCGTTACATGTAGTTGACAAAGGACGTCATGCAGCTTCTCATTCTCCTTCTGTAGCTTCTTACTTGCCTTCTGTAGCTTCTTACTTTCCTTCTGCAGCTTCTTATTTTCCGTCTGCAGCTTCTCATTTTGCCTCTGCAGCTTCTTATTCTCTTCCTGTAGCTGGTGGGCATAGGATGGTTAGTCAGTCATTGTCAGCATTTCTAGGTAAACGCTGGTTGGGGTTCCACCGAGAGCAGGTAGAGGGTTTCCTGGCCTGGGCAGGTGGTTTCTAACCAGACTAACTACCTTCCAGTTTGGGAACATTTTCAGGCTGTGCCTGAGGAGAAGGGACAATTGAATGCAAGCTGCAAAGATCAGGGCACAGGGGCTCTCTGTCAGGTGTGGCCACCCACCGAAAGGCAGTCAGGGAACTGGGGGTCATTCAAAAATCATCAAATGGATGTTTTTAGGTGAAAACAAAAGGTGAAAAAAGTGTGGTAACATGCTGCCTCTGGTGTAAGAGCAGAGAGAAAATGAGACTGTTTACTTATATTTGCATAAAGCTCTGGAAGTGTATGCAAGAAAACAACGCAAGTGGTCACCTATGGACGGTGGGTATAGGGGACAGGTAAGTAAAGGCGGGGTGGAAGGGAGACTTAGTGTACCTTAATATTTCTCCTGCTTGAGGAATAAATTTGAATGTATTTTCCATTTTAAAGTGTTTCAAATGAAATAAATTCATCAGATGGGATTACTGGAATGGGGTGGCTACTATGTGCCGCACTCTGATTCATGCACTTTGACATTCTGAGCCCTCGGTAGGCAGAACCTGAAGCTGTTGTAAATGGGTCTCTTCTTCAACTTGCCTCAGGGATGTTTTTATAGAAGCTGTTTTCTCTGCCCTGAAGGCTGCTGCTTTCTGTTCACTGACTCCAGTACCTGAGCCCTTCCTTTGGGGTTACCCCTCAACTATTACTGAGGTCCGCAGCCACCTGGTTCTCTCCTGGGTGGGATTTCAAAGGAGGGCCTGAACACAAAATGCCCAGGCAATTCATCAGAGGTTTATGGCAAAAACCTCCTTGGCTGGCCTCACGGGGTCACTGCCCAGGGGACCACAGAGTAAAGGATGTGGTGGTTTGGAAAAGAAGACCTGGAGTCTGCTGTTCCTGGGCAGCTGACCCTTCCATGTATTGATGAGAGTCAGTAGCCAGGAACAATATCAGCAACAAAATACTTTCCAACCAGTTTAAGTTGGGAGGTGAAGTGGTGTACTGGGAGGAAATCATGGGAACCAAGATCCAATCCCCTCCCCCCGCCCCCCACCAACCACCCAATGAGAACTACCTCTCTGTTATTGGCTGCCAGCTGCTTTTCCAATTCATGAAACATCCTTTTCCATTCTCTATCCTGAAAAAAAAATTACAGCCCCTTCACATATTAAAATATATTATAAAACTGCCCTGGCTGGTGTGGCTCAGTGGATTGAGTTCCAGCCTATGAACCAAAAGGTCCCTGGTTCTATTCTCCGTCCGGGCACATGCCTGGGTTGTGGACCAGGTCCCCAGTGGGGGACACGCAAGAGGCAGTCACACACTGATGTTTCTCTCCCTCTCATTCCCTTCCCCTCTCTCTAAAAATAAATACAGGAAATAAAACTACAGGAATTAAAAAGTACTGGCTCGTGATTAAAAAGACAGAACAGTGAAAAGAATAGGAAGTTCAGACAAGGGGGAAAACATGAAATCTTAGTCTGGGGCAGGGTGGATTGTCAACTAATAGTGTTCACACAAGTAGCTAAGTGCCTGAAAAAAAAAAAAAAACACTATGAACTTGTATCCTTATTTCATATCTTAAACCAAAATAAAGTCTAAGTGGGTCAAAGATTTAAACATAAAAATGCAAGTGACTGTCAGCAAGATGGTAGAACAGCAGGTTCAGCTCTCAAACCACCCCCAGATGAGATGAACTTTATGGGAACCAGGGAATCCAACTGACAGGTTCCAGTGCCTCGATGGACCAAGAAATCAGAGAATAGATTCATTGATGAGGAGAACAGTTTTACATCACTGCATCACCCCTCCCACAAGGCAGCACAGCTCAGTGCCAAGAGAGACTCCCCCAAGCTCCAAAATTTCCCACAAGATCAAAAGCATCCCACAACTGCCCCAGCCTTGAGGGATGCTGCCCAGGAAGCCCGCTTCTGTCTCACCAGCCCCAGAATGGAGGACATTGGCACGGCTGAAATAGGTGTGTGGTACTGACACACAGCTCTTAGCAACCAGCCACAGGTGCTGTGGCCTGGCTCGTGGACACCAGGAGGTGCAGGAGCAGAGAAGGTAACAGGGTAGAGTATTTGGATGCAGTTGAAGTTAAGTTGTTATCGGCTTAAACCACGCTGCTGTAACTATAAAATGTTTTATGTAAAGCCTCATACAAAAAAACACCAATAGCAGGTACAAAAAATGATAAAAAGAGAAAGGAATCAGACATACTACTAGGGGAAAAAGCATCCAATCACAAATGAAGACAGCAAGAGAGAAAGAAAATAACAAAGAAACTTCAGGGGGGAAAAAAGTCTGAAAACAACAAAATAGCAACAGTAAATACTTATCTATCAATAATTATTTTTTATTTTTTCAATTTCAGTTGCCATACACTATTATATTAGTTTCAGTGTACGTACAACATAGTGATTACACATTCTTATACCTTACAAAGTCATTACCCTAATAAGTCTAGAACCCATTTGACACCATACATAGATTTTACAATATTTTTTACTGTATTTCCTATGCTGTACTTTACATCCCTGTGACTGCTTTTATAACTGACAATTTGCACTTCTCAACCCCTTCACCTTTGTCACTGATCCTGCCAACCCCCCTTCAATCTGGCAACCATCAATTTGTTCTTTATCTATGAGTATGTTTTTGTTTTGTTTGTTCATTTATTTTGTTTTTTAGATTTCACATACAAGTGAAATCATATGATATTTGTCATTGTCTCCTTATTTCACTTAGCATAATTTCCTCTAGGTTTATCCATGTTGTCTCAAATGGAAAGATTTCATTCTTTTTATGACTCTTTTGGAGCCCTCCCCCGACACAGAGCCACAAAGCAGTGAAGTGGACTGTCCTGCACTGGCAATCACTTAAGGCTCCGCCCCACACAAGCTACCAGCAGCTTTCCTACAATAGGCCACTTTACTAAGACAGGGGATCAAAGCAGCTCTACCTAATACACAGAAACAAACAGAGAAAGGCTGCCAAACTGAGGAGACAAAGGAATAGGACCCAAATGAAAGGAAAGAACAAAACCCCAGAAAAAGAACTAAATGAAATGGAGATAACCAACCTGTCAGATGCAGAGTTCAAAACACTGGTGATCAGGATACTCAAAGAGCTCACTGAGTATGGCAACAACATAAAGGAAGAAATGTAGGTTACACTAGTGAAATTTTTTGAAAACCTGCAGGGAACCATCAGTGGAAGGGAGGAAGCTGGGATTCAAATCAATAATTTGGAACATAAGGAAGAAATAAGATTTCAACCAGAACAGCAAGAAGGAAAAAAATTTTAAAAACAAGGATAATATAACGACCCTCTAGGACATCTCCAAACATACCAACATCCGAATCATTGAGATGCCAGAAGAAGAAGAGGAAGAGCAAGAAACTGAAAACTTATTTGAAAAAATAATGAAAGAAAGCTACCCTAATTTGGCAAATGAAATAGATATACAAGTCCAGGAAACACAGAAAGTCCCAAAGAAGTTGGACCCAAAGAGGACCACATGAAGTTACATCATCATTAAAATGCCAAAGGTTAAAGATAAAGAGGGAATCTTAAAAGCAGCAAGAGAAAAGTAGAGAGTTACCCACAAAGGAGTTCCCATAAGATAATCAGCTGATTTCTCAAAAGAAACTTTTCAGACAAGAAGGGACTGGCAAGAAATATTCAAAATGATGAAAAGCAAGGACCTACAACCTAGATTACTCTATCTGGTAAAGCTATCATTTATAATGGAAAGGCAGAGAGAGTGTTTCCCAGACAAGGTAAAGGTAAAGTTCATCACCACCAAGCCATTATTACATGAAATGTTAAAGGGACTCACCTAATAAAAAGAAGAAGATCAAAACTATGAACATTAAAATGGCGGCAAATTCACAATTATCAACAACTGAATCTGAAGAAAAAAAAAACTAAACAAACAACCAGAACAGGAACAGAATCATAGATATGGAGATCATTTGGAGGGTTATCAGCTGGGAGGCAGAAGGGGAAGAATGGGGGGAAAGGTGCCGGGATTAAGAAGCCAGTTAGTGAATGACAAATACCATATGATCTCACCTGTCAGAGGAATCTAATGAACAAAATAAACTAATGAACAAAATAGAACCACAGGCACGGAAACATGGAACAGACTGAAAGTGACCAGAGAGGAGGGAAAGGGGATAATGGTGGAAAGGAGGGGAAGGAACTAGACAAAGAACATGTATGAATGACCCACAGACATGGACAACAGTGTGGGAAGTGACTGTGGGAGCAAGGGGTGGGAGTGGGTCGGGATGGGCAGGGGAGGGCAAAGGGGGAAAATTGGGACAACTGTAATAGAGTAACAATAAGAAAAGATTTAATTTAAAAACACTACTAAGAAACATGTGTAACACCCTAAAAACTACAATTGGAATTATAATACATTGATATTCTTTAAATAAAAAGAGTCATTTTTTTAAAAAAGAAGAAGAATTGGCAGGTACAAAATAGACAGGGGGAGTTAAGAATAATATAGGAAATGGAGAAGCCAAAGAACTTACACACATTACCCATGGACATGAACTAAGTGAGAGATAATTGCTGGAGGGAAGCAGGAGGTACCAGGCAGGGCAGTTTAGGGTAATTTCCATGCCTTATACAAACTCTCTGATGAGTAAGGAAATCAATAGAAAAATAGGCAAATAGAAACAGAGTTCTCAGAAAAACAATGGCTTTTTTCACTGGAAAACTTGTGAAACATCAAGCAGTGGAAACACTTTACTGCTGACTATTAAGCATGAAGCTCTTTCTTAACAACCTTGCAGAGCAGAAACAGAAACACAGCAGGATTATGGACTGTCAATTGCCCTTCCTTGACATGGAAGTAATTATCAGTGATACAAACCATACATAATTGGACTATTATAAGACTCATCTGGTGGTGACCAGAGCCACCTCCAACTAGCTCAGAAGAGCAGATTAGACTCAGTCTTCTCAATTATATAATTGTTTGTTTTTAAAAGATTTTATTTATTTTTAGAGAGAAGGGAAGAGAAGTAGAAAGAAAAGGAGAAAAACATCAAAGAAAGAGAAACAGCGATGGGTTGCCTCTTGCACACGCTCCAATGGGGACCGAACTGACAGCCCAGGCCTGTGCCCTGACCAGGGATTGAACCAGCAACCTTTCACTTTGCAGGCTGGCACCCAACCAACTGAGCCACACCAGTCAGGGCCCAATTCCGTATTTGTTGACCTTACATTGGTAGCATGCAATTGGCCATGGTGAAAATATTTACATCACAAAAAATTGCAAATGCTACAAATCAAAGATTTTCTAGTGCCATAGAGCCAGGTGTGAAATACCACCACACCACTATATCCATCACAAATATTTTCAAATCCAGCAGCTTGTTACATTTCTAAGAGTTGTCTTCGATTGGGTTGGAGTCAAAATGAGGCAAGATTGTTCAATAAGAGACACAGCTGTGTGTATTTTTAAAAAGATCCCAGGCAAATCTGATATTGTACACACACTTATCACCAGTCTCAACCAAGCATCCCCAAGAACCCTATTCTATGCTTTCTTGTATTGGCAGACAGTCTGAAAATACAGAACTTCGATGCCTTTCAACTTTCCTAAAACTGTAGAACAAATAAGAGAAACTTTGTTAGAAAACAACACGGCCATTGGCTGGCTTTGGGAAGAAGGCACGGAGGATCTGCTCACCTGAATTTTCATCTTCTTGAGAACTGCCAGGGCCCGGAGCTCCTCCGTCTGCCTGAGCTGGTCCCTGCACTCCCCATCCTGAGGAGACCTAAGGGCAGAGCCCACCGCACTCTGGGACTGCAGGGCTGTTGGTTTCTGAAAAGGCCAGGGCATATTGTTTAGACGAAGATCTAGTCTTGGTTTTGTCTTTTACATCTTGAGCAGCGTCAGATGGGCTCAACCAGAAACCCCGTCCAGTCTTCATTCGCTATCTGCACACCTGTGAACATTCACACTAGTCCGGGTTCTCCTTCTCTAGTGTGCTTCCGCGAGCTCAGGTCTTGCCCCAGAGAGGCAAGTTCCCAAAGAACAGCAGAAAATGGACAGTCTTACAGTGTTGTTCACAATCACTCCACATGGAATCTTACCTGTTTTTTATCCCTCAGAATTTAAAAAATATATTAACAAAATTGTTATCCAACTACACAGAATTTTGTATCCATTTTGGCTCCTATACTTTAATAAAAATAAAATTCAGGAGAATGTGATTCAGGTACGAAGAATACTACAGATCCAAAAATTATGTTCTAATTTACCAAAACTCAGAATTTCCTAACTGAAAGTAACCCTTTGACCTTTGATGAAACGGTTTCTGAGCAACTTCAAAGTCAAATTAATACCTATCTATCGAATGTCTGGTCAGCCAGCACCGTGTCAGGGGAAGTGTCAGAGTCAGGAAAGTTTTAGATGAGCTGGGGAATGAGTGGTGAGAAGCACGGGTTGGACGCATGAGGTCCACATGGTGAAGCAGCATCTTGTTTTCCACACACCATCCCTGACCCCACTGGGGAAACATTCGGGTCACTATAGTAAACCCACACACACACACGCACGCACGCACGCACGCAGCTCTCATTTCGACCCCACCGCCTTCCATCCTCCACTTTCCATCTCAGAGTGAGACGATGGATCCCCCAAGATTCCAGGCATAGCCCATGACAATCCCCTGCTAGAAGAGTGGCCTTTTTAGGCAAAATGTGGAAGGATTATGAGAATCACTATTAGTTCATTTTCAAAAACTAGATTGTCCTTAATGTTGTTACTAGATTGTCCTTAATGTTGTTACTAGATTGTCCTAATGTAGGGGGACCCATAGGAGCTAAATACATTCGGAAGGTATTTCTCCTTAAAACTTATCTTCTGACATAGTTTTAGTCATACAGGTTTATATGCCAAGATACAGTCCAGAGATAATTTTAATAAAGTTTTCCTGAATAAACCTGATAATATATCCATTAGAAAAGCAGGAACTTTGAAGTTTAAAGAGCTAGGTTCAAACCCCAGCACAGCTCCGTATCTTAGTAGCTGTGTGACCTTGGGCAAGTTATTGTGGCCTCACTGTCTTCACCTGCAAAGGAGGAATGTCAATAGCTTTAAAAATAACTTTAAAAAAGAAATTAATAAACTCATGAGGTACCTACTTGGAGAATGTTAAGGTGTTTGATAGTTGTGAGGGTTAAAAGTTAATGTATATAAAGTGCTCTGCACAGGAGCTGGAAAACAGTAAATATAGTCAACAAATTTTAGCTAGTAGGTGTGACCTCCACAGATCCCTCAGTTGTCCTATCAGGTAGCCAGCACTCAGCAAATATTTGTCGGAAGAAAAATACATTCATTTAAATTTTGCCTCATTTCTTATCCAGTGATGAAAGCCCTTTGCAAAAATGAGAATAATACCTAGGAAGTTCTTACTATATATCAGATAATGCCAAGTGCTGTGTGCTAATTTAACCCTCTCAGCAACCCATCTTACAGAAAATAAACCACGGCACAGGAAGGTTAAGGAGCTTGCCTGATGTCACACAGCCAGCATGGGACAGAGCAGAGATGCCACCCCAGGCCCTGGCCGCTGGTACCCAGCCTCAGTGTGCGTTAGCCCCACAGTGGCAGAGGAAATAAAACCAATACAAACCAAGTGAATGAATTTTGAGAACAGAGAAGCAGATTTTCAACAAAATAAATTTGAAAAGTCTTTTACACTGGGTACCTCTTCTAATGCAGAGTTATTGTAGATAGAACTTTTCAACTCATCCCAAAACAGTTTTTTTTGTTGGTCTATTTCCTCAGATAGTTTTTCTTTCCACTCCTCAAACATTGTTTTAACATCCTTTCCCCTTTTGCAGGTGGTCTTTTCTTCCTACAAAAAAAAGCAAGAACAATAGAACAATCAATTCAGCATTTATAATTCAGCAAATATTTACTGAGAAAATGTGAGGGCCCCTTGTCATGCAAGTCACAATGGAGACCCAAAGAACATTTACCCCACAGTCCCCATTGCTTGGACTTAGTGGGCCAAATTTTGTGTGAACTTTCAAATCCCTTGAGGATAGAGATTATGTTGTCTCTGTCTTTCCAGAGGCTGGATTCTGGAACTTTTAGAACAAGACCCACGCCTCGTCCTCAAAAAGCCAAGACTACAGTGTAAGAAGTTGAAATTCAGGTTCAAATACCTTCCAAGGGTGCTGAATAAAGCAGGAAACACACTCCCTGCTCTACTTTTGGCCAGACAGGTCTGGCAAAATAATTGAATTTTCCTTTCCAGACCACCTAAAAGCACTTGCCACACAGGGAAGATGCCTCTGACTCCCAGCCCCAAGAAAACAGCCAGAATTTTGGCCCTGTGGGGTCCATGTGCTTCCTGGGTCTCCGGGGTGGTCCCTGACCGAGTCTCCTGATGTCTCTTCTCCATGCTCACCTGCAGCTGCTGCTGCTTCTCCAGGAGGGCTGCCAGCTCCTCCTGAGTTGATGTAAGCTGGGCCCGCAGGTCTTTTACCACCTCCTCCATAGACTGTTCTGGCTTCTTTTTTTCTGTGGGGTCCATGCAAACAGAGGATGACCAGTTTAGGTGAAAAAGTCAGTGGAGCGTGGTCCCTCACCTATGTCATCAATCACACACCTCAGTCAGAGGCCAGGTTTGCCATTTACATGGTACATTGACCTTGGCGAATGACTTAACCTCTCTGACCCTCAGTTTCCCCAAACTGGAAAATGGACATAATAATAGCATCTAACTCAGAGAGTTGTTGTGAGGATGAAATGTGATCATGCAAAGTGCTTAGCGTAGTACCTGTCATGATGCTCAATAAATGTGAACTATCATTGTAAAAATAATTTTTTTGACAGTACTGGCCCAGAGAAATGTGAATGCAAAATTACTAGAGTAACAGAAGCAGAATACCAAATAGCATGTACACATTGATTATTAACGGAAAGAATATATCCATGTTTCCTGACAGCAATCAGAGAGGAATTTAAAGTAATAAAAATAATTGTAGTTTTAAATTCATTTTTTTCAATAATTTAAACATAGAGTTCTAAATTTCAAGTGAAAGAAAGGCACCATGCATTATGTATGAACAATTTAGCTAAGGTTGGTTTAAGTGTGTACTTGAAATTTTTTAAGTTACAAAAGAGACTCAGAATGAATTGTAAAATAACATTCTACCTAAACTGCATACTGATAAAGCAGTAGGGGTTAAAGGTTAATGAAAAAGACACCAATTGTACATTTGTTACTTTTTAAAGTACATTTAGTAATTATTCAGTAGATGACACAGTTATTAAAACTCTAAACCTTTCTTTGGAGAGAGATGTGACTTTTCTTAGATTGGACTTTTTAGAAACAAGCAATTTTTAGATGCACTATGAATTGATCTGGGTTAACAAGTGATTTGAGCTGAGTGTAGAATGGGGGAGCTGAGAAACCAAGAAAAAGGTCATGAACATTAATATAGCAAAGTTGCCTTAGGAACATATTTTCCCTCTCCTTACAGCACTTTACATTAGGGAAATGATAAGGAATATGCACAAAGATTCACATATAAGAATTTTAATTATCATGTGATTTATAACAGGGAAATTTTTGAGTAACCCATATAAATTATGAAATAATTCAATTGTGAAATAAACTATGATAGCCATTTGATGAGATACTCTTCAGCCATTAAAAATCGTGTTTAAAAGACGATTTAATGACACTGGAAAATGTGATATATTCTTAACTGAAAATAAGCAATAGTCAATACTGCATACTGTATAATTATATATGTAGACAGAAAAATAATAACAGAGAATATACCAAAATATTAACTGCAGGTATTTGTCCATGATTATTATTTTTTGTTTTCCACTGTCATGTATTTAAATATTTGGTATCTGTGGCATTTTGTTCAATTTTCTGCTTGTGGTAAAACACATGTAACATAAAATTTACCATTCTAAACCATTTTTAGGTGTACAGTTCAGTGGTATTAGATACTTTCATAATGTTGTGCAACCATCACCACCAGCCATCCCCATCGCTCTTTTCCTCTTATAAAAAAGAAATCTATAAAGATTTAACAATAATTTCTCATTCCCCTTCCCCCAGCCTCTGACAACCACCATACTACTTTGTTTCTATGAATTTGATTACACTGGGTACTTCATAAAATTAAAATCATTACATTATTTGCCCTTTTGTGACTGGTTTGTTTCACTTAGCGTAATGTCCTCAAGATTCATCCATGTTGCAGTGTATTTCAGAATTTCCTTTCTTTTTAAGGCTGAATAATATTTCAGTGTTTACATACACCACATTTCGCTGATCCATTCATCTTTCAATGGTCATTTGGCTTGCTTCCACATCTTAGCTACTGTAAATAATGCTGCTATAAAGATGAGTGTACAAATATTCTCTAAAGAAATGTCTTTTTATAGGAAAAAAAATATTTAAGAAGTGGAAAATCTGTTTTCCTTTAGCAGCTTCCAATTCAGAACCAAGAAGAATTACATACATAACAAATGCATAGTCACCAGGTAAATGGTGCTGTTTTAAAACTCTAAGTCTATTCTTTGAAAAGGAAATTAAAATGAGGGAAAATAAGAAAAAGTTTTATTTTGGGGTTTTTATATTTATATTTTGATGTCTATATTTTATGTTTTAATAGCTATTTTTATTAAACCAAAAACAAAATTAATGCAAAGCATGGAAACCTCTCCATGGGGAAAACATACAGTTCTGTTACTTGTTTTGGAAATAGAAATGGTAAAATTAAAGTGATTATGTCAAAATAAGATTAGGCACATAATAAAGTCAAAGAACTGGTCTGACTGCTCATTAACCCCGTTTAAGCTCATTCAAAGTTAGCATCAGAGAACAGCAGATTCACAACAAGCTAGGAGGGAAGGACCCTTCAAATGCATTGTCTAACAGCCCCATCCATAGTGAAAACCACTGAGACTCAGAGGGGGAAGCATTGGCCATGGTCACATAATTGGAAGGGACAAAACTGAGACTGGAACCTACCTGTGTGACTCCCTGCTCTTTTTCTCTACACACACAGTCAGAAACCCTCCCAGCCCCAAGTAGGATCTCCATGGTGGATGGTGGGATCATCCCATCTTCCAATGCATGATGCAGTTCCAAGGGTAGTTTAGTTGATGTGTGTGCCCTGCATCCACTGAATTCCAATCAAGGTCCTTCCATGGTCCCAGAAATGCCACTTAGACTCACCATCTTTCGCCTCGCTCTCATGCTTGCGTTGAAGGTGGTTCCAGAGAAAGGAGGCACTCATGAATGTCTTCTCACACAGATGGCACTGAGCAGAGAGGAAGTAGTGGGAAGTGCAGGATTAAGTCACCTGAGTCAGCCTGGGATTCTCCCTATATCAAAACTCCCATTACCCTGGGATTCCTGGGCTGCTTCAGACACACAAGAAAATTCATTTACTGAGTAAGGCAATGATGTCAACCCCCCAAATATATATACTGAGCTTTAAACCTCTACCAGTATCCTGGGAAACTGTAAACACTGACTAGGTATTTGATGATACTAAGAAATTTTTGTTGGTTTTTTATGGTGTGATGATAATATTGTGTTTTTGTTTAGAAGTGGGGATCCTTGCCTTTTAGAGATATATACTGAAATATTTACAGGTAAAATCATGTGACTAATATTCTCCAAAATATTCTCCAAAAACATGTGAACAAGGGGTGGGGGAAAGTGGGTAGGGGAATAAATGCAACAACATTGGCCATGAGTTGCTAACTATTGGGCTGGGAATATGCAGATGAAGGTTCGTTCTATTACTATCTCTATTATTGTATATGTTTGAGATTTTCCATAATATGAAGTTTTTAAAAGATACCAATGTCCAGGTCCCACCCTAGGGTTGATAACCACCAGAGCAAGGACAGTTAATAATAGCATATCTAATTCTACCTCATTTTCCCCAAGTATTTCAGACCCTGCCAATCTACCATATCATCCTTTCACTGTAAAGCTTCAAAATTCTTCTGACACTGCTTTGCAGGCTGTCATTACCAGTCAATAGAGTAATGGGAAAGATTATTTGCAGCCTTTACACAAAGGCAAATACAACAAAAATGGCCAGTTGTCTCCTAATACCCACTTTCCTTTTTCCTTAGCAACAGAAGCCTTGATTTTTAACTGATCATAAGGCCAATGAGAGTAAACACTGTCCTTCCTTGCAACCAGGTGTGGCCATGGGATTAAACCTTGTTCAATAACATGGAAGCAGAAGTGGTATATGCAACTTCTGGGAAGCGTTATTAAAGAAAGAGACATGGCATTCTTCCCCCATCTCCTCCTACTGAATTGAATGTGGACTTGAGAGTGGAATTTAGGCAGCCATCTTGGACCACAAGGCAGAAGTCACATGATGAGGCTGGCAGAGAAACACATAAAGAACTGGGTCCGCGATGGTTGTGGCACTACGTACCAGCCCCAGAACACTAACCTCTAGACTGTGTTCATAAGAGGGAAAAATAAACTTAGATCGGATGCATCTCAACTACAATATGAGGTTTTCTGTCACCCACGGTCAAGCTTAAACCGACACACACAACCTGGATTGACAGACGTTGCCCACTCTGGAATTCTAAAATCACACAAATGAGTTCCTAGTTGTCAGAAGGAATATGAGGTGGGTGGATGGGGACTATTTTATAAAACATCTTATTCCAAATTACAAGTCCTTCCACTCATCCCACCCTTCCCTGCTTCCCCATTCCCACCTCAAGCAGCACACTCAACAATCAGGCCCCTGAAGCTGGACAGCCGTCACTGCCTTCGGACTAAAATCCACACTCTTCCACAATGTCCAAGGCCACAGTGACCTGGCTCTACTATCCTCTCCTGCCACACCTCCCACCAGTCTCCTGCCCAAACCCCACCTCGGGCAGCCCAAAGCCATTACCCTGAGCGCACTTCTCACACCGTCACCTTGGCTGCCTCTGCCCATAACATTCCTTTATAAAATTGTGCTCAGCAGTCAAGGCTTGTTTAAGCACCACCTCAGGAAGACTCTTCCTCTTCTTACTCTGTGTGTCCACAGCTCCTCAGCCATTTATCTTAACCCTTTTTCCACCTACAAAGACATCTGTTATTTCTGGCAGTACAGTAGCCATACACTCTTCCTCTGATAACAGCACCCAGCTTTCTTCTGGGGAGCAACCCTTCGCTTACTCTCAAGCCATGGGCTTCAGTCCACCCCAGCTCCATGAAACATGTGACCTACATCAAAGCCAATCAGAGCTCTGCATTCCCAGGGCCCGGAGACTGGTTGAAACACAGGAGTCAGTGAAATACTAGCTGGGGTGCTGGGACCAGTGTTGGCCCTCTGTCATGCCAGCCTTAAATCTCGAAAAATAAGAAGCTGGCATTACTGCGGCCCAACCTGCTACCACAGGGACAGGATCTTTCTCAGAATGGAATCCACACTGAAGAAGAATTGCCAAGAGATTCAGGGAAAGAAACTAGATTCTGGTGCCCTCTTGTTCCTGGGGCAAAGCCACACTTTGATGCCACAATAACCCTGGATTTTTCAGTTAAATCAACCAATAAATTCCTTATTGGCCTAACCCAGGTTAGATTTTTTTTTTGTCACTTACTATTGAAAGGGTTCTGACTCTTATATCATAATTAAAAATACATTAATTATATCATTAGCATTCTATTGAAATGATTCCTTCTTCCCCACCTACCCTCAAACTATGAAGTCCTTGAAAACCTGAACCAGCATGACCTGTGATTATTTCCTCAGTGCCTGGCACCCAGCCAGGCCAACATGACAATTTATTACAGGGTAACAGTCCTCAAATCACACTTTCCATGAAAATACACACAAAATACTCTGGCTAATGAACTGTTACTTGGTTAAATACTGGAGATCCTTTTCTAGAATGGAACTGACTCTACCAGTCCCCTGACACACATTGATCTCACACACACACACACAAACACACACACACACACATACACACATGCACTTCTTACATACAGCACTTTCTACACACAGAGACAAAGCCCTCATGCATACACACATATATATATATATATATATATACTCACACCCTCCACAAATACACATACCCTTAGACATATATACACCTTTACTTTTTCATACACACCATAAATATATCTTTATAAGCACACTTCCACATACTCACAAGCACACATTACACACCACACACCACACACACATACCATACACAAATGTACCCTCCATTCACACACACACGCATTAGACACACATATTTACACCTTCCATAAGCAAACACACATACCCTCCATACTTTTAAACATTCTTTACACACAGCCTCTCCATAAACATATACTCTATGCACACACATCCTTCATATACACATCTGCCACACCTGTATAATCTACACACACACACACACACACACACACACACACACACACACAGTAGATAGAACCAAATCAGACACTCAGGCTCTTTGGCCATGAGCAGCATCTCTAAAATCTGCCCCTGACCAATGACTACGGCCCATAGCAGAGTCTGGGCCCAAGGGATGGTGTTGCCCAGTGGCCCTGTGGCTGGGCACCCAGACCTCCCACTCTCCTTGCCCTATTGATATTCCTCACCATATAGTAGCTCTGGCCACCTGACCGTTGGAGCAGCTGCTGCAAGTCTTTGATCATCTTGCGACGCCGGTGGCTTTCCTCTCGCACACCCCTGAGCTCTTCGGCCTGGCAGCCCAGCTCCTGCTGACCACGCTCCTGCTGGCTCAGGCTGGCTTGCAGGCGCACCTCCAGCTGGGAAATTCTGGTAGTCAGGCAGTTCTGGCAGTGCAGCAGGTACTCGATGATGAGCTGCGCTAGGCGCAGCACATTGAGCAGTGCCTGGTCCAAAGGCTCCCAACAGTGGCTGCATCGCTCCTGGTCCAAGGTGCAGAAGGTGATGTCAGTGAGGTTCTCCTGCAGGGTGGTCACATCCAGCTCCCGTGCCACACGGTCCACATCCAGGACACTCATGCGCCTCCAGTCCATGTTCCTATTGCGAGGCTGGAACTTGAAGGGAGGGACTGTGTAGGTCCCAAAGATGGGACAATAGGTAGTTTGAGCAGTGATAGCAAGAAACTGCATGGTCAGGGAAGCCCTGAGCTGACCACCTAGGGAGGGTGCCACCAAGGCCACTGCAGCCAGTAAAGAAACTGAGGTAGGACCTGAAAAACGAGAAGACAGTCCAAGTTAGGCAAAGTGCTTGGGCTGCATGTACAAGGCCCAAGTGCCATCAAGAGCCTAAGTGAGGTGAGGTAAAGGATCTGAACAACAGCTGCAGTATGCATGCTCTGCACAGGCACGACCTGAGCCATGGATTTTACAGTCACTCTGCTCTGCGGTCAGGTCCTCAGCCCTGGGCAAGTCCCTCAGCATCTTTAAGCCTTCTAAGTATATTGAGGCTTATGGGGCTCACTTTGCAGGTTTGTGGTTAGGAATGAAGCAGGTGAAGCACCCTGCATTGTCCCTGGCACCTAGTAGGTCCTCAGGGATTCCCCCATGCGCCAGTCCACTGCCAGAGGTCTTTTGGGGGAAAAACTGTCAGTTGCATAAGTTGGTCTTATGCAACCCTACACTGACCCAGGATAAAGCCCTACAATTTGCTATGGGTGGCAGAATCACCTAATGTCTACCACATTCCCTGCCCCCATCCCCTGCCCCACTTCTCCTCTAATTACAAGATCATAGTGGACAGGACTAGGTGATGTTTCCCAGTTTCCCTGGCTGTAAGGTGTGATCATGTGCTTATGTTCTCTCTAGAGGGATGTAAGTGAAATGATGTCTACCACTGCTGGGGTGGGGGAGGGGGTGCTTAAGACAGTGGCCATGTCTCTGCACTCAGACTGTGCTCAATCCATGATGGCCTTTTTTTCTCTAACTTAATGGTTCAGTGAAAAGAGCTCATTTTTTTTGTCAAAGACTCAGATTCTAATCTCCACTTTCTTGGTAGACATAAAAATTGTTCTCTCTCTTTGAAAAGTAATTTGGCAAGAGCAATAGGAATTTCGACTCCATTTTTCTACGGACAAACTCATACAAGTGTGTAAAGGTGCTTGTGCGAAAGTTGTCATTGTGGTGTGTTTGTAATAGCAAAGTATAAGAAAAAGTACAAGAAAGCAAAGCACAAAGTACAATAGAGGACACAAATGGTATCTCTATACAATGAAATACTATGCATCTCTTGATGAGAATAAGGCAGCTTTACATGAACTGATAGGGAATAACGGGAGTATGTATATATGTGTGTACATATATGTGTGTGCATATATATGTAGATATGCATACATACACTTTGGTTTCTGTTTAAATGATATATTAATATAATTATATTTAATGACTTACAAAAATAAGAGATATGTATATCTCACATATATATATGAATATACAGGGACATATTTGAATAGATATAGATAACACAACAGAATGGCTGCCTATGTGGGAAGAGGTAAATGGAAATGTGAAATGAGGACAAATAAATTAATAGATGGACGGTCCATAAATAGGACATGGGCAAATAGATAAACAGATACATAGATAGATAGGCCTTACACAGACCAATGACAATATATATATTTCATATTTGCCATTCATATATAATTAAAATATAAATATATGAATTTATGATTTATATTCTTTCATAAGCCTAGACCATTTCTATAAAAAACAGACAAATCATTACCTCTGGGCATGAGAATGGAAGTTAGGGGACCTTATTTTTCACTTTCTACCCCTCCATACTATTTAAAGTTCTATGCATCATTATCTATTACTCTCATAATTTTTAAGGAAAAAAATATAATTTCTGCCCTTGAGGAACTTAGAATCTGGGGCAAGAAGAAGTACATATGATTGTACTTAAGTTCTTTCTAGATCATCCGATTCAGACTTTTTAAGTGCAATAGAAAGAGAAGAGAAAGGTCACTGACATCAGGAAGGAGAAAGGCCTTGATGAAATAGTACTGGTGACTGCAAAGAGGAGAAGGGTCTCCAGGAAAGGTCATGACCTCCCTAAGCCTCTGTCTCCATTTGGGAAAGGGGGGTATAGCCCTGCCCTACCAACCGCCAGGGTGCTGTGGGAACCGGGGACAAGCAAAGGGAATGCACTCAGCACTGATACGAGCTGCAGTGCAGGGAGCCTCCGTGCCAGACACCAGCTCTAAAGACAAACCTACAAACAGCTATTGTTATTCCCATTTTACAAACAAAGGAATTGATTTCTGGAGAGGTTAAGTGGTTTGCCTCAGGTAGCAAGGCCACAACTGAAGAAAAGTTGGAGGTGCATCTGCCTCCAAAGCTTGTGAACTTTGAAACACCCAACATGATTCTTGAAACCATTAGTTCGAAACATTTGCTTTGATCACATCAACACTCCTTACACCTCAAACTCATTCATTCATTCACTCCCTCCCCCTGCATTTATAGTGCGCCTTCTTGGGCCAATTCTGGTCTGAGAGACTGCCCACAGGATGCCACTGACCCATCTTTTCCATTTTGGCTCCCATGCTTCCCTCTCAGGTACTCTTCCCCAGTGCAAACTCAAAAAGCAAAACTCTAGCCGCAAGCACCTCTATCATGGCCATGAGGAGAAGACTGGCACATTTCTACTTAATGTGTCATATTATCTGAAGAAAAAGAAAAGAACAGGTAAGAAAAGAAAAAAAGGAAAGAAAAAAAAAGAAAAAGACCAAGAACAAGAACAGCAGATGGGCAAGATGATATCATGTTCAGTTCCAAGCAACAACATGTCACCAGAACCTCAGAGACAACTGCCACAACAAACTGTGCCTTGGAGCAACAGCAGGTTACCAGGCATGCTCATGCTGTGGCCCACAAAAACAGGACACCTGCTTTCTGTCCTCCTTCAGACAGGGAAACTCACCTGAAAACTCACTGTTCAACTATTTAAGCTTTATCCTTAGATGTTTGCTCACAGTTCTCTCTCTAATAATAAGGCCTAGAGTCCTCCTCATCAAGTCTCTCAGCTCTCCTCCCACCATGTAGAATGCGCCTTCCAGCCTCTTTCTTAAACAGTTACTACCCTTTCACCCCTTCCTTTAAGGCTGAGTGTCCCAATGTCCCTGTCGTATGTATTCTGCTGTTCACCCACACCCTTCTCTCCCTGCACTGTCTCTCTGGGGATAAGCTTACACCTACCCACAGCTGCAGCTACCATAGGCCTATTGTAAGTACTCAGACACTCCCAAATCTCTTTCTTGCTGGTCAACCTATCTCTTGGGATCATTAGAACAAACTTCCCAATACCAATTATACCAGAAATTGCAAATCCAAGTTCTACCAGGCCCAGGAAGGTAGCATAAAATTCAGGAAATACGCCAAGTATAAGTGTATATATATATATGTATATACATACATACACTTCGCTGTCCGCTTGGCCACACTTGGAACCCTGCTGCCATTTTCTCCACATCTGGGCTTCATGTTGCTGTCTACACTTTCTTTGCTCTGGGCTATTTATTTATGGGTACTGTTTTTAAGTGCTTTATAAAGAATGTAATTTCACAACATCCAAACATCCATCGAGGAGGGCTATTATTATCGAAGCCACGCAGAAGGCAAGAAGCTTGCACCAGGGGCAGAAGGCAGGATCCAAACCCAAGCAGCCTGGTGACAGAATCTGAGCTCCTGGACACTCTGCCACGCTGCCTCTTGGTATAGCTGGCCCTCCGCCAAATCCTTCTGCTCCGGCTGAAAGTGCACGCATGCTTCGAGGCCTTGCTCATACAGCATCGCCATCATGGCTCCCTCCCAGGCCCACAGTCAGAATTTCCTGGCCCTCCCCGGGGCTCCCAGCTCACAAAGCAGGCACTCCTTGGGTCACCGCATCACATTCTGGTCTGTGCCTAGGTACCTGTGTAAGGTTCATTCGTCCATCCCATCCACAAATGATTCCTGAGGCCCAACAAAGGGCCAGATACCATGATTTATACTCAGGATTGAGGGTGACCTAGGCAACAGTCCCTCCCATTGTTAATAGAAATAGTGAGCAGTTCTAGAACTGTGTACTCCACACACAGATATAAAGCTTTACAGGTATTATCCCATTTAATTCTCACAATAACCCAGTACACTGATAAAGAAACTGAGAGATAGACAAAGAAGGCAAGGGGCTTTCCCACAATCACACCACTTAGTAAGCGATGGTGTATGGCTCCAGAGTTTGTTCTCCAGGAAGATGGAAAAATACACAGAAATTACTGTAGAGTGTTGTCAGGGCAGAGTGCTGTGGAAGAACCACGAGGGGCCATACAAGACATTTCTGTCTCATTTCTCCCCCAACCCCACCTCTGACTCCTCCAGCCAAGAGCTCCACAAGGGCTGAGACCTTGGCTTATTCACATCTGTTGGATTCCAGCCCTTGGCACATTACCTGCAGCCCAGATTGTTATTAAACTAAAACAAAATTATCAAAATCTTAGACTATTTGCCTCAAAAGTTCTGTTTTCTTGGGGTCTTGGAGAAGTGAGGCTATGGACCAGCAAGCATTAGGATGAAGAACAAGAATGGAGTTAGGAATCCTTAATTTGAGCTCCTCAGTGCCAAAGGCTAGTCACACTTAGTAAAATGATTGATTTGTTAACCATCTGTGCCCATAGCTCAACCTTACTGGCCACTAATGAAAGCTCAGGAGCCCCTGTGGGTGGGCTCAGGCTCCCCAGTGAGAAGCCCCAGTGCCCACACTGACTATCAACATGTGGTGACCACAGTGTTGTCACTTGCCTCCTGCGCAGTCCTAAATCCCCAACTTTGACACTCTCAGCGCACTCTCCAGAACTGATGGTGGCAACTCCGCTCCCAGTTAGCGAGGATTCTGAATTAGGGGTCCCTGTTCATGAGGTTTTACTAAGCCCCAAACATATCACTCTTGCCTTCCGCTGAAATCCCAAGAGTCCAATCTGCAATAATCCTAAGGCTCTGACATCAAAGGGTGAACAGAACTGTAGGATTTTGAGGCTTATAATGGTGATAGTAGCCATCATTTATTATATATCTATGTGCCAGACACTGTGCCATCCTTTACAGATACCATTCCTAGCCATTGTACAGTCTTGTAGGTAGCTGTGATTTCCCTCCACCGAAAAATGTTAAAAAATGTAAAAATGTAAAAGCTAAGGGACCTTTCTTAAATCACTCAGCTACTAAGTAATAAAGCCAAGCTTCAAATCAAGTTCCGTTTGACTCTGAAGCTTTTGGAGTATGCTAAACTACCTCCCAATGATGCTGGTGATGACATGTAAATTATTTCTCATTACAGAAATTACAGTACCTGAGGTTTCTCCACCAGACTGCAAGGACTGAAAATTCACAGTGAATCACAACACGGTAAGTGCTGGAGACCTTAAATTCTCCCTGGATCTCCACAGACTCAACTTCGCCGTTTGAGTCCAGAAGACAAAGTCAGATGAGAATGTTTCCGGTTTCCTGGAAACCACATTCCCTGTGGGGGAAGGGATGGAACACCTAGTTCCTCCAGACGGAATTAGCAGCGGACTGCTTCTCCCACATCTGGGAACAGGAACAGGGGCAGAAATGACTGTCATTAGAAAACCTGAAGTCATGCTAACCATCTCTCTCGTTTCTCGATTGGGGCCCTGAGACGCATCCCAATTTTAGCCCATTGTCATGAATTAGTGGGACCCAAAAGAATGGTATTTATGTTAGCATTTCAAAACTCACTCCCTTGTTCAAGAGACTTTTCCACCGGGGACAACCCACAGCCAAGGGAGGGAGCCTTTGCTTCGCACATTCACTGCAGGAGGCAGCCATCCCACGGGAAACAATTTCTGGAGGCTTTGTAGTTCTTCTGAAACCCGCCCACCAATTTCTAGAAAACTGACCAAACGGCTGATTTTTAAGTGAAATTCTGGCTGATTTTTAAATATAAATTAGTACCGCCGCGGGGGCGTCCGGAGCGGCTAAAGTTCAGCGCCTGCCACCGGCACACCCCTCGCTGGAACCGCACAGACGCCCCGCACGGGCGCCGCCCCGGGCCCAGTTCCTGGCACTTTTCCGAAGCGGTCGGCTCACCTAAGTGTCCCCGGAGCCAGAGTGGGCAGCGCTCCCGTCGAACCGGCTCCCAGCTGAGCCTGGGCCCCCTGTGGGCTCACTCAACCGCGCTCAGCAGCGCAACAGCCCCCAGCAGCCTCCAACCGCCCAGGCCGTTGCCAGAATCCACGAGGCTGCTCAGGTAATAAGGGCAAGATGACTTGGGAGGAGCAGCCTAGCCAGAGACCCCTCCCAGGTTAACTGTTAATCATTGCTTATCTGTTCCTGTAGCCCGTTTTCACATCCCTTCCCCTGCCTGGGTAGCACATCAATCTCATCAATCTCCCACCTGAATGCTAATCCCTTCCCCCACCTGGGAAGCCCATCCGTTTCCGGCCCGGAATGCTAGGGCTTATAAACCCCTATCTAACCCCGATTCGGGGCTCAGAATTTGGAGACTGCCTCCTCTGAGCACGCGCGTGTGAATAAAGGCTTACTCCGTTCCCTGAATCGTGTCTTGAGTCTGGCTTTCCGTAACACAGGCTGTTCGGCTTGGGGATGCTTCCCCAGACTGGGGACCGCGTGCTCTCGAGGGCGGGAACAGAACCGCGTGGCCACCTCAATGCTGCCAACGGTACAGAGACAGGAGAACCTCTCGGCAGGAGTAGCCTGAGGCCTAGGGTCTCCGAGGGATCCCGCTCCGCAGGCAGACGCCCCGCACGCTAGGAGGAGAATTGGAGCCACTCCCCTCATTCTTCTGGGATGAGCTGTTTTTAGATCTGACCCGAGGGTAAAGGGAGTGAATACCATGTATAATCCCATAGAAAATCCAGGATCCCTGTGAATCGCAAAAAAGCAGAGGCACCTGCAGCTTCTAGGGCAGACCGCCCAGCTCACCAGCCCTAAACTAAAGGGACCTTCCTGGTTTCTGATCTGGCCCCACTCTAGTCCTTCGGGTGAGTCCCAGGTTTCGTCAGATGTCACCTGTCCCCTTGCCCCCAGCCTGCGGTTTGTCCTGTGCATCTGGCTGTGAAGCCGAGGACCGAGGAAGCTGTCTGTCCTGACGTCAGTCCCTGGCCCCTTCCCATCGCCAGCCCCGGCTTTACTGAGACTCACGTTTCTGGGAGTTTTTTCCAAGGCCTTTCTCCCACCCCAGCCTCAATCTGCCCAGCTCCGTATCTTGGGGCAACTCAAGCAAAATCCTGTGGGAACATATGTTGGCAAGGATGTGGAGAAACTGGAAGCCCATGCATTGCTGGTAGGAGTGAAAACACTGTGCAGCTGCTGTGGGAAAGAGAACAGCGATAACTCAAAAAATTAAACGTAGAATTGCCATGTGGTCCGGCAGGTCCATTTCTGGGCATATACGCAAAGAACTGAGAGCAGAAACTCAAGTATTTGCACATACAAGTTTATAACAGCATTATTCACAATAGCCAAAAGGTGACAGCAACCCAAGAGTCCATCGACATATGGATTAAAAAATGTGGTGTATACACACATACAAAAGAATATTATTCAGCTTTAAAAAGGAATGGAATTCTGACACGTGTTACATGAGCCTTGAAAATATGCCAAGTGAAATAAGCCAGGCACAAAAGGACAAATATAACATGATTTCACTTACACATCATACCTAAAAGAGTCAAATTTGTAGAGATATTCCAGAAACTACACAGTGGTTACCAGGGCTGGGAGGGGGGTGGGCAGGGAGTGGGGGTTAGTGTTTCATGGGCACAGACTTCATTCTGGGACGATGGAAAACTTCTGCAAGTGGAGAGTGGTGTTGGTTGCACAACGATGTGAACGTACTTAATGCCACTGAATCACACACTTTAAAACAGTTAAAATGGCAAGCGTTATGGTACGTATATATTTTATCCCAACTTTTTAAAAATAATTTTTTTAGGTGTTTGGGGCAGGGACCAGGAGCAGCAGGACGGCCTGTGAGCACCTGCTCTGACGGGCGCCTCGCGCCTCCTCCCCTCCGGTCAGGGCGTGCTTTTCTCTCACGCTGTGCAGCCCTGGGAGTGTCACTTCTCTGTAAAGTGGGGAAAATAAACTCTACTGAGCAGGGTCATTCTGAAAACCAGCTTAGCTACAGCATCTCCAGGCTCAGCCCGGGTCTGGCTCAGGGAGTGTCCTCCAAGTGCTGCCCAGCGTGGAGCCTGTGGGAGCGTTTGCTTCGCAGCTCTCTTCCCAGCGTACCCCTGAAGTGAGCAGAAGGTAGCTGTGAGGCTGCCTGTTTGTGTTTGCCATTTCCACCGGCCTCGACTTCCCCAGGTGTAAATGCAGCGCCCTCTTGCAGGGCTGTTGTGAGAAAGTGGACCTGATATGCACCCCAGTTCTCCTCGTCGGTGAGGCCAAGAGCAAAAGACCGCGGCCTCAGCCGACGCAGGCCTGCCGTGCACTCAGCCCGAGTCCTGGAGCGCTGCTGTGTGCCAGGCTCTGTTCCAGGCACCCCGGAGACCAGGAGTTGACAGAGTACTAGAACACTTCATCCTGGGAAGCTGTCACCTTCTGCAGCGCCACCTCTGCCACAGCACACACAAGATTTGGTGGCACCAGAGTCAGTCCCTGACACAGAATCAGGCGAAAGGTCTTTGGGACTTCTCTGCTTCAGGCAGAGGAAGCTAATCGTAACTGACATGTGGGTGAGCCCCCCACCCCTGGGGAAAGTGGCGATCAAGGGAGAGCGTGGCTCTCCGGGCAGTGCTTAGTTTCATGATGTAGCAGCAACGAACCAGCATTGGCTCTATTTGTCCCCTGGGCCCAACTCCCCAGTCACCAACCCTTCTGGGCCTTGAACCAGGACCCGGTAGGTCCTAGGACAGTGCTTGCGGTAGAGATTCTCCACCAGCGTGTTGCTGCCTCTAACCACACCCCTCCCTTCCTGGTTCATGTGGCTCCACAGATGCAGGGCGTAGGAGTCATTGAAGCTCGGGTCTGTGTCCCAGACTTCATAGTAGCGCCTCCACTCTGGATAGGAGATGGGGTAAAATCTTTGGGGGTGTAGAAAGGACAAGTTCGAACACTTGAGGTCGCTCACCTCCTGGAAGTCTTCAAGTTTGCACCACAGCCTCAACATCCTCGTCATCAAATCGGGTCCCTGGTTGCCCCAAAGGTGTGAATTGTAGTGTTCAACAAAGTTCTCCATGCACTCCCACAGGAAGGTGTGGCGGGGGAGGAATCCAAACACGCCGTTACTCGAGTACTGAGAAGCTTGTGCTGCCAAAAAGTTCTCCTCGGGGACGGGCCTGATGGAGATGACATCGGTGTCCATGTAGATGCCGCCGTACTTCCAGATGATGGCCAGGCGGGACGCATCTGAGCTGACGTGGAGCCAGTTCCTCTCAGCACTGGAGTTGATCTGCAGGAGCAGGTGTGCATCAGCCCCCAGCAGTGGGGAAGGAGGCTCAGGGGAGGGGGTATGGGGGCAGGAGCGGGGTAGGTCACAGGAGGAGGCCAGGCCCGGGAGCTGGGGAGGGGCCAGCAAACCAGCTTCCCCAAACTCTATTTGCCAAAAGCCCAATTTTGAGAATTTACCAAAATTTTCCTCCACCCCAAAAAGTTGCCTTGAAGTAAACAGTTGACAGTAACCAGTATCCATAGGAAGACTTTAGTGGCTTTTAAAGATTTCATGAAATTTTTTTTTTATAAAACTAAAGCAGTGGAAAGGTAAAGTAGAAACCCAGGAGGGATGGCACAGTGAACTGAGTCAATTTCAGTGGGTTGTACAGGGTCTACAAATATGAAAACATGGAGGAAGACAATTTTAAAGTCCTAAAAATGCTAAAAACTGACAAAGGAAAAGAAAAAGCAGAAAACTATTTTAAAAAATCAACATGTATGCTATTTGAAAAATTGGCAAACGTGCCTTAAAATGCATGCATGCATGCATGTAGACATTCATTCACTGATTAATTCCTTTTATATTTAACAAGGACCTGCTTACTATGTGCCAAAGCTCTGTGACAGCTGCTAAAGACATGCCGATGAACAAAGACAAAAGTCTCTACTGGGAGAAGACAGACAATAAAGAAACATATAATATGTTGGGTATTCATAAGGACTATGAAGGAAAAAAAGCTGGGTAAGAGAACTATGAAGGGGGCAGCGTGGAGCACAATGGTATCTTGGGTTCCAGCAGAATCTGGAAGGAAGTGGGTAGGTGAACTATGCCGATTTCTCTCTGAGAAGGTTCTAGGTAGAGGGAACAGCTAGTGCAAGGGCCCTGAGGCAGGAATGGGAGGATGGCACTGTGGCCAAAGTGGAGTAGTGAGGGAAGAGGGGTAGGAGATATGACCAGAGAGGCGGGAGGTAGAGAAGAAGGGCAGGTTATGTGAGCTGGGTAAAAGCTGGACTTATTTGGGAGATTTGGAAGAAAGGAAGAATATGATCTGAATTAGTCTTCAAAACATCCCACTGGCTGCTCTGTGGAAAACAGGTGTTGGGGGGGGGGGTGTTGGGAGGTGGCAAAGGCAGAAGCAAAGAGGCAAGTTAGGGGGCTGTTGAAATAACGCAGCCAGGAGGTGATGGTGAAGGAGGATGATAATAGAAGAGGTGAGAAAAGTGGTCAGATCCTGCACACGTGGTAAAGAGCAAGCCGTCAGATTTCGATGGATTGGACATGGAGCGGAAAGGGGTGGAAAACTGCAAATGCTACAAGGTGAGCAACACAAAAATACTTTTTAAAGTAATAAAAATAATTCATAGTAATTGGCAGTGTTCCCAAATGAATGCTAAAACTCTGAATGCAGAAAAACAAAATAGATTTTTCTAAATTGAAATATGTTGATTAAAACATTAAACAGCAACTCTTGGCTCTGACAAGCAATGTGGAGTTTGCCCAAGGGAAGGGGGAGAGGCGTGGAGCGGGTGCTAATATACGGTGATGAAAGATTATTTGACGTTGGGTGGTGGGCACTGTGCAACATACAGACCTAGTACCATGGAAATGCACACTTAAAACCTCTTAACCAGTATCACCCCAATACATTTAATTTTTTAAAAAGCCAACTGAAACAGGTTAATTAAGACTTTGCAGAAATCTTCACAAGAGTCCTTCACGTCATCATATGACATACAATTGCTGAAAACCTCATAAATAATAACAGCTAAAATTTACCAAAAACTGTCCTAAGTTTTTTTATAATCTACACAAATTATCAAAGATTAGTATTATGATTATTCCCATTTTTCAAGTGAAAAACTAGAAGGATCAAGAAGTTCAATAATTTGTCCAAAGTCAGAGAGGCAGAAGTTGAATTGGAACCCAGGCAATCTGGCCCCAGATATCTACTTATTTAAACAAAATGGTTTGGGTAGAGAATGTGTTGATTAGTTGGTAAGTTGGTGATTGTTAGTGAACTGACCCACAGACATAAGACATCAAAAGCCTCCCAGAACCCGAGGAGGAGGAAGCCGCCTGAAGGTGGGCATTGGACTGATATCAGCCTAACACCCAAGAGCTCCCCCAAGAGTGAGCACAGAAAGGGGATGAGGGTTCTGACTACTCACCCCCTCCCTCCCCCACTGTACTCAACCCTGGGCACCTCAAGGGCTACAGCTGCCCAATCACTGCAGCAAACCCGGCAGTCACCAGCAGCTGATGACACGTGGGGCATCCCTAACAGCGGGCCCTCAGCTATCCCGAGGTGGCCTCACCGGGCCAGCACATGCCCCACCCAGCCCCACCCAAGGGTAGGGACACTCACCCTGGTGTAGTGCCCAGCAGGTTAGATGGGGCAGACACTTAAGAGCTGTGTGCCAAGACCCTCCTTGTCCCTAATGCCCAGCATAGCAAAGTTGAGGTGCAGCTTAGAGAAACCCAAGCTGTGTTCCATGAAACGTTAACTCCAAGAAAACATTTAGGTCATCCTGAAAGTGGGTTCTATGCTCAAATAACTTTGGTAAATGCTGGCATGAATCAAAGTCTCTTTAGTTCAGAACTACAGAGCCTTTAGTCGCCTCATGTGGACGATTAGTTTGTGAGAAATGACCATAGTGTGTAGCATCTCCCAAAACAACTTGAGTAGAGGTTTCTTTTCCCAGGGAGCAAACACAGTTAAGGTCATGTTAGTTGAGCCCAGGTTTGGGAAAGCGGGATCCTGAGCCAGCACGATGCCTGGTCTTGTTCATTGCTGGAGCGCCCTCTGGCGGGAGAGCACTGACACCGCAGGGACCCGGTAGGCAGGTGCCTTGCACCGAGTCCTTTTCCACTACCAGCGCCTGACTGTGGCGGGTCCTGCCGCTGCCCAGGGCCACACTAGTCGCCACTGATTTGTTAGGAACTCGGTGCTGGAGACTGCAGGTGAAATCTCAGTCTGGTGAATCGCTCTACCTCCTCCTAACGGGTCCCTCTTTGAAGCTTCCGGACTCCAGGAAGAGATGGGCAGGGTGGGATCTACAGTCACAGGGGGCGGGGGTGAAACTGGCCAGTTCCTTTTCCTGCCCCCGACACACAGACAGCCGTACACGCAGTCCTGTCGCTTGGCCTAGAAAATGTCTCCAGCTACAGCACCTGGGTGGAGGTGCGCCCTCCACCCAGGACAGCCCCAGGCGAATGAGGCAGGGTGGAGAGGAGTCTTGCTTTTTGATAAATGAATACTGTAGTGGGTTGAACAACGGCCATGCAAAGATATCAGGGTTTGAGTCCTGGAACCTATAACTGTTTCCTCTGGCAAAAGGGTCTTCGCAGATGTGATAAACTGAGGCTGTTGGAATGAGGAGATTATCCTGCTGGGTCCTAAATGCAATCACAAATGTCTTTACATTGTGAGATAGAGGGAGAGCTCACACACGCGTGGGACAAGGGGGCGTGGAGATGCAGGCAGAGACAGCAGTGACGGGCCCCACGAGAAGGAAATTATCCCGCGGGGAGTGGACCCTGCCAGCCCCTTGCTATCCACTCCGTGAAACTGATTTGGGATTTCTGGTCTCGGTGACTGTGAGGAAATACATTTTTGTTTTCTTAAGTCACCAAGTCTGTGGTATTTTGTCACACAGCCAGAAGAAGCTAATACAAGTACCTTCACAAATGGCCTCAATTGTGCCTCCTGGCCTGCAAAACCTAAAGCACTGACTTTCTGGATCTTTACAGAGAAAAGGCTTTTTGATATTTCATCCAGCCTATGATTAGAATTTAAGATTTTATATGGCAAGCAAATGTTATTGTGATGTTAATTTTTAGTTATTTTATAAAAACTATTTATAAAATTAACATATTCTCATCACTGAACTCACTCCCAGTTCATACTAAAACACCTACTATCACTGTGTGTTCTTCAGGTCTTTTTCTTTCAAATAGATTGGGGAAAGGGCATTGTATAACTAAAATAATTATGGTTACACTATCATGTAAGAGTATTTAATCCCATATTACAGTCTTCAGAAGCTGGCACAGTTAAAATCTGCATAATGGAATCATTGAATGGTTATCCTATAATTTCCTTAAAAATTACCTCATTGTGTGTCCTCATGAGAGAAATATTTAATTGAAATATTATTTTCTTATTATGCTATGTTACTAAGATGAAGAATACAAAATTCCTGAGAGTTCCAGCAGTTTCTTGATTATATCTTAATACACCCAATTCATATAACAGCACTCCACCTGATCCTTTATGAGTTTTCTATTTACATAATTTTCAAGTGAAATATTGCCTAGTTTCCCCTTCAGGTACAAAAAAGTTTAACGTGGATAAATTTAAAACTATCAGTGAAAAATAAGGAGTATACACACCTAAAAAAACTCATTCAGTTAAGAATAGTCTCAAAAGTAACCCAGATATTAATATTGGAAGCTGGAAGCAAAAGACAGCAGGCTAAAAGTAGATCTAACTTACATCTCTCCCAGTTACTTGAATCAGGGCTCAACATCATGGAAAGAAGGCCAGGCAAGAGTTAAAGGATCTGGGTTCCAGTCCCATCTCTGACACTGAGTGCTTACCCTCAGTTTACCCACCTATCAAATGAATAGATTGGACTCATTTTCTGTGGTTCCTCCTAACATGGGCACTCTAAGATTCTCTGAACACTTACTTGAGTGTACCATGAAAACAATGGTGTGTCTTCAAACAGTCTTTTCATATCCAAAGGGAAGAGGAAAACATTGTCTATTGCTGAGAGGAGGGAAAAGGCTGGGTACGTGGAGTTTGGAGGCAACGGCATGGAATTTCTGAGACCCTTCATTAAGAACACCACCGGCTGCTCAGGGTAAACCTTGGCAGCGGACTCCACAGCACAGGAGACCAGCGGGGGAGGCTCCATTCGCTCAGAGGTCTCTAGGAACACAATGCTGCGTCCCTTGCCCAGGAGGGATCCCAGCCCCTGCTGGGACTTGTTGGTGGGCAGGCAGGAGAAGAGGCAGCTGGACTTCAGGGTGAGCTGGTAGAGGAAGCCACAGGAAAGCAGCAGAATGGCCAACAGGAAGATCTGGAGCTCCTTCAGCATGTCCATTTCTCCCTCTTGGCCTGCTCCTTAAATCAGCGCGATTAATTAAAAATTGCATTCACAAAACCAGATAAAGATAGCACACAAGGAAGCAATACAAGAGTATGACTTGTACTTAATCCCAAATAAAATATAATCAAATCAAGTCCCACAATATTAAAAAGAAAAATGCATTAACCAGAGTTTCACTGGATAATTTAAAGATGATTCAAAACAGGAAAATAATTAATTCATTAATAGGAAAACTATTGATCACATGCATTATCTTATAGCTTAAAGAAGAAAAGGCATATGATCATTTTGGGGAACAGATGCCAACAACAGGATAAGATTTGACATCCACACATAATTTTTAAAAAGCACAAGGAAACTTTCTTAAGCTGACAATGTCTACTAGAACATACAGCAATCATCATACTTAATATGAAGCATTTAAAACATCCCCATGAAGACCAGGAATATGACATGGATCTGTCTATTATCACTGTTTCCATTCAGCATACTCCTGCTAAGTCTCACCAAGACAATGAAACCAAAGAAAAATGTCTATTATGAACACTAAAAAGGAAAAGGCAAAAATATCACTAGTTGTAGAAAATATGATTGCCCACCTAAAAAAATCCAAGATAATTTACTAAGAAACTAATAGAACTAAGGAGAAAATTAACCAAGGGAGCAAATTGAAGGCTAGAGTTAAATAACTTGCCAAGACCACACGGTTAGCAGAGCCCTGCCTCTAACTTGGGTCCCTATGTCCCCTGTGTATCCCACTCCCCGTAAGCATTAGCTCTCACTCTGACTAACTTTAGGAGAACAGAGATCTCACTTTTTCAGTGGTCTATTTTAGCATTGCATATGGCTCTTTTAGAAAATACAAAACCGAAGAATCATATCTTACCTTTTAGCCTGAAAACTGCAGCTGCCAATATCTGAGGTCCTAGCAATGACAAGTTTTTCCTGCTGTCCTTTTGGTAAATCACCACCTAATCTTCCAATTCAACAACTGGTAAAAGTAAATCATTGGCAGAAGATTAACACTAAACACAAGAAGTTCTCAGGAAGCTCCTCCCTTTAGTAAATTCCCCCAAATACAGAGACTTAAAAACAATAGGGGGTTCACAAAACTTTTCAGGTGACCCACACGCTAAATTCTGCCTATTTGTGCATCTGTCAGGAGGGTTATAGGGTGATGACTTCACCTGGAGAAAACTGTATATAACCCTGGAACTAAAAGATAGTGCACAGTTCTGAACAACACTGAAAAATTCTGTTTCAATCAAAATCATGGACAGAGACTTGGGAAAATTTCCTCACCAGACAATCTGGTAATTTGGTCCAAACTGTGCAAACACAAGGTCTGAGTAAAAGAAAAGAAGAAAAGAAAATCCATTGCCACAAATAAGCAATGGACAACCCCAGTAGTCCAATGTCCTGGTGATTTGGAACAAGAATACATTCTCCAATTTCAGTTGCAGTGGCTTCAACAAGGGTCCCTTTGCCCGGAGGTCCCCTTTTAGAGGTCACACAAGGTCAGTGAAGTTCATCGCCCTCCGCTTATGTGGCAGTCCCCACATGTCCAAAGACAGTGACGTTCCCCTGTGGTCTGCTCCCCAGTGCTCCTGACACAAAGGCACAGGGATCCTCTTTGAAGCCACCCTCCCTCAGGGAGTCGCCTATCTTCAGCTCAGTGCCTTCTCTCAGGCGTGAACAGGTATCCACACTTCCCCCTGGATGCTCTGGTGTGAACAAGAAGGTCCCGTCCTAAGCAGACTTTGGATCCTGACCTAGCAGGTCCTACGTCAAGGGAGGTAAATCTGCCCACTCATTGATGGCTTCTTGTTTTCTATGCCCCTGAGGCTTTCCAGGAACAGCTCTTTTGGTTTACACACACTCCTTTTCCTTTTGGAGCTGAATTTCTTCTCTGGGTCTCATCACTTCTAGGCTCCGGGCACCTTGGCATCTTTCCACAGTTCCCTGGCGTTGGATGGATGGGCTGTTTTTCCTTCCAGGACCGGGGCAGAACAGAGCTCTGGCTCCTCGCTCTGGGATAACCAGAGGGCTCCATGAGTGCAGTGATGCATCCCTAGAGCCTGCGTTTCAGGCGGGCCACGCATCCAGTGCCTCCCAACTGTCTGCACAACGGCCCAAACCATTGAACAAGCGGTCGAGGCAGAGGTCAGAGAAGTAGATGGTGGTCTTTGTCACACGGGTGAAAGTGGGCATTAGTGATGCAGTGACGGCCCAAACACAAAAAGTAGGACTTGCCTGACCGAGAACCAAGTAGAGGGCAGGATGGGAAGGGCCCTGAGCTCGTAGTCCTTCCCCAGCGCACCACAGGCTGAGGGCTCCAGGGCCTGTCCCAGAGCCGCCCAGAGCCTCAGCTCCTCTGCGCAGGGTGGGGAAGGGCTGAGCCCTGGCTCCCCAGGAGGGTGGAAGGACCCTCTAAACCAGAGAAGCAACTCTCACTTTCCACCAAGGACAAGAAGAGAAAAATAGCACACTGTTACTGTAGACGGTATTTGGACTTTCTGTGGGCAAACATAAAGTTATTGTTGTTTTTAGATGAGTGAAATCTATTTCCCTTGGAATATTTATGAAGAAAATCCTCAGCCCTGTGTGAGAGTTGATGAGATGTGCACAGAAGCCGGCTGCCACCTGGGGCCTTTTTAGGATCACAGCCTCATGCCCTTCCGGAGTCTTTCTTAAGCAGCCTCCTGCCACCTGAGCCACTCTGCCAGGAAGTTCCCAGGAACCCCAGCTCCATCCCTTCAGCCTCCCCTCCGGTGTGAATGGAACTGCCTTTCCCTCCTGCCCCCTTTTCTGCCTTACCTGGCCTGCACCCCACTAACTTTCTGTCTGTGTGGGCAGGTGCCACAGCAGCGGCTCCTAACCTGGATGCCACAGAAGCCTAGCGGCTCCCAGGATGGGCTTAGGAGAACCTGGGGCTGTAGCTTGCATTAGTCCCCGTACCCTGGGTGCCATTGATGCACAGCTCCTACGTACTACCTGCCCGAAGGGAGGTCCCTGCTCTTTGACCCTCCATGACATTAACTCTGTTAAAAATTTCTCCAAGTGTCTTCACCACACAGTGGCAGCCTTCCTCCAACCAGCCAAGCAACCGTTAGGAACAGATATCTGAGTAGAGACATGCAGAGTTATTTATGTTGGAGCAGTGGTGGGTCTGAATGCACTGGTGAAAGCCACCTGTGTGTCCCGGTATTGCCTACTTTCCTGTCAGGTTTTCCCTCCTGTGCGAGAGTTCCTGCTCCCTCCATTATCATGTAAGCCAGGCTTGGTCAGCGCAGCGGACTCCGGAGCCTGGGTGATTGTTGCTGACTGATGAGACCGTAGGAAATGTGGATCAGTGTAGCCTCAGATAAGTGGACAGGATTGCGGAGAAAATCCTGTGAATCAGTGGGGTTTTTTAACATTCAATATTATTCCCGTATTCTTTTTATTTTACGATACTGTTCTTTGGATGTTTGGGGCTTGTCTAAAGAAAAGGCAGTGTAAGGAGGACAACCACGGAACCAGAGCAGAGGTTTCCGCAACTCTCCAGCCCTGCAGATAACCCCTGATAATCTCAACTTCAATGTTCGGGCCTACACTCCCTCCGCTATAAAGGACTCACTGTATCGAGAAGGAAAAGTTAAAGGAATTTTTAACAATAAAATATTTGTTAAACTGAATTACACATGAAAAGTGCACCTCTTATTTCTTAGTTTCTTTGAACTCCAGTTTATTGCAAGAAGGAAATATTCAAGCCAACAATACTTGTCCTATTTACTTTGGAGCCCTTGGAACCACAGTTCCGGTTTTTAACATATTTGTTAAGCAAGTGGGACTGATAAACGTGTTAAAGCACTCAGCTATTAACAGCGCAAAACCAACACCCAGAGTGATATGTTATCGGCATCGCCAACCCGTCACACTGCTCTGGAGCTGGAACAAAGGCTGGAGACCTGGGTTTATGTGAATGAACAAAGGCAGCTCGTGCAGAGTTAGAATCCACAGCCTAACACTTGGGAACCCAGGTGAGAGTGACTGAAGGACATTGATGAGTGACAGCGTCCACATAAAATCCTGGAAAGAGAATTTTACTGAAAATCAGTGAATTCGTGCCAGCACAAAACCCCTGGGTCCCGTGACACTATTTTAAACCATTCCACATGTCTAGGAAAATGGTTCTAGCCTTGCATTTCTGGCAATAATGCTTTTTGTTTTCCACTCAGCCTTACCAGTCCAACCTGCTCCTGTTTACAAAACCATGCTCAGCTATGAAGATTGTATTGCTGGGTTCGTTCTGGAAATTACTCTGCTTACACGTCATTTCTTCAACCCCCCCCCCCTTTTAAAATTTACTTGTAGATAAAAGAAGGGATGGGGGACAAGGACAGGGAGATAAGGAAAAACCGTTGTCCACAGCAAAGCCGCTGTGCGCCAGGCACCACCTTCAGGCTGAAGGGCAGGGTCGGCCAGAAGCCTGCAGGGCACAGCGGCTCCAGTCCGAGGGTGGGGGCCATGCGGATGAGCTCTGCGTTCAGGCTCTGTGAGTCAGTGTCCAGTTTCTTTTTTCTATAAGGAATTGGAAGCATCTCAGAGCCACCTGTGCCAATTGTCCACATGGAACTTTATAAAGACTGAGTGGCTGTCAGAATGAGCACTCCCCGATGTGGCTGAAAGAAACTGTTACAAACTGAATGTTTGTGCCCCCCACTGCCACCACCACCAAAATTCATAAGGTAAAACCCTAACCCCCAGGGTAATGGTGAGGCAGGAGATAGTCAGGAAGGGGGAAACTCCAGAGGTGCCCCAGGGCTAAGATAAAGAACATGGATAAAGAACGGAGACCCTGTTCTAAGACTGGTAGTTCCTGCTTTCTGGAAAAGCACTGAATCCTAGTGAATCAGGAATGCAGCTCTGCAGAAGATGCTACCTGACCCCTGCTTTATTATAATAGCATTATAATAAATTAGCATTGTGGGACCCCGTTGCCAGTA